GCGAAATGCACCAGTGATCACGATTTTGAGTACCATGCACCTTTTGTACTCTGTTGCATGGAGGTGGACTTGCACTTTACGATAAAAGATTGTGACGTCGAGTACGGCAGTATGCTTTCGTCTTCGTCTTCGTAGATTAATTACAAGCAAGGTTTATCAGGTTTTTTTGATCCGGTTATTCACTATGAAAGTGTTTTTACTGCTTCCAAAAAGCAAAAGGTTAATCCTAATCCAGTTTGAACGGTTAAATATTGGGTTGGTGCATAATATCGTAGCGCTTGCATTTTTCATTTTTGCACGCAAACGTTTTGTGAAGAAATTAAAAACATAAAACTAATCAGGGATGTCCACTTTGCCATTATTTACGACTTTTATCCTATTTTGCAGAAAGTCACTGGATTTGGAATTGAAAAAAAGATTGTTGGTTCGCTCGAAGTCCTCATTATTTCGCAATTTGTACGACATGAATACGGTCTTAATTTGAGTGAAATATGTAGGGTTGGTTAGAGAGAGGTTCGATAAGAACAATGGATTCTGAAGAACTTTTGTTTTGACGGTATTTTTTTCTTTATGTGAACTGAAAAATAACAGCTGTCGAAATGCCGATTTCTGCCGTCTGGATTTTCCAACTTCTAAGCATTATGTATGAGTACAAATATAATTTTGAGGGAAATGACGAAGTAATTTTTGTAGAGCGAAAAAAGCACTTTCAAAAGGTATAGGCGATTTTTAGGGTTTCTCTTGTACTGATTGAATTTACACGCCCAAAAAAAACGCTACGATATTATGCACCAACCCAATATAAGGATACGACAGGACTAATAGTGGATTGAATCATTTGGAGTTGTAGTTGAATGCTGTTTAAATTTTGAGTTTGAATGCGGCAACAATGGCACAGATTGCGCCAGACTTTACGGCAGAGCCGCCCCTGCTTTTCCTCCTCGGCACGCACTCCTTCATGTTTTCCGTGCCTGAATGTCATTTTAACGATCGATAAGAGAAATTTTTGTGTTTCTCCTATCCATCATCTATGTGCGTGTTGTCACTATATTTCTGGCACTATACTTTGTTAACTGCTGCCGTTTCTGTTCACTGTTTCTCTTGATTCGTGCGTACATAAGGTTCGATTTCTAATTAGTTTGGTTTTATGCAGTGATGTCATTGACAACGTCATCCAAATCTTGCTGCTCATTTTGGTTCCACTTTTATGTGGATCTTAACTCTTTATCTCATTTTCATTGCTCGACTTGTTTGCCCTTACAGCTCCCTTTGTTCCCATGTGTCCTTTGTGTTGATGATCTCTTCAGCAACACCTACGCTTCTGAACGAGTTCAATAGGAAAAAGATGAGTTGGCCCAGTTGGGCCAAGTCTTCAAACTTACTTATAGGCGGTAGGGGGGGAGGGGGACTACTGATTATTTAATCGTTTTTGCCAGCATAAGAAAGAAACAACAATTATACAACATTTCGCTGTCTAGACTTGAGGCGCTCATAAGTCGCTTCCCCTCTGTAACATCCATGGCGATGTAAGACTTTGCATTGAAGCTGATTTGCCACCAAGTGAGGAAGTTACGGAGAATTTACCCGCCGATACGAATACACACGGGGCCCCGGCGTAAATCATTCCGTCGCTCGCACGGTTGAGCATCCGTCGTCGCTGAAATTGGTGCAAAATTCACTCATCGCATAAGGCATGCATCACCAGTGGTTGCGAGCGTACGGCGGCGAATGAACGACTATTATGCGCCCTTGGGGAACTACAGGCAGCGCATCGATAGAACAAAGTTGCGACCTACAAACCGATACCTAATAGTGATTCTATAGTATTATGTGCAGGCTTGAGCTAAATAGCTCAGTTCTAGAAGTGGTATTTGCAACACGAAAGTGCCTACGCAATGCCATTCGGCGAGGAGCTTTTTACAGCGGTGTGGTCCGGGAACGCCATGTTACTGCGTCATTTAGCTCTATACTCAAAAAGTCCCGGTCGTTTCAGATCATGCTTCGTGTGTTGCTGAGTGGGCCGGCTGGCAGTGGGAAGAATACAGTTGCAAAGATGTTGTTGAAGGAATTCGATCAGTTTGGATATTTTCTGCTGTGATCGTCATCAGAGATCATATTCAGCGTGGCACAGGTACATCTTTTTTCAAGCATTTTTCGAGTTCATTCGCGATATACGTGACGAACCTCTCTATTCGAACCGATCAGTTGACACTACTTGGAACAGTTGTTTGAATAGTGCGTGTGAATCGCGAAAAAAAGTTGCGAAATTGCATTGTAAGTAGTTGACTGGGCAATACGTATGAGTGGGTCTCCCTTAGTAAAGGGGGAGGCATGTTGTGAGGCAACGACAAGTGGTGCCCTCATCCCACCCCTAGACTGCCCTTCACTCAGGCGCTCACAGGTCCCGTTACTTCGAGAAAACGCGTTGCGCACAGAGCGGGTGAGCCAGTCTAGAGGTGGGTGATGGCAGTCACTTGAGTGCTGCCCTGACTGTGATGAGAACCCATGATTTCGAGGTGTACTTTAGAATTCGGTCAACGAATTTCATCTTTCGTACGCAAAGGCGAATTGATTCCGGACAGCATAGTCAATGGTGTTCTCCTTGAAGAGATCCGTCATGCCGGGAATAAACTAATCCTAAACGGTGAGTGGTGAATTGGTGTCTTTAGTTGCTTTTGCGATTTAGATATTTCTAAAAAACGATTTTCATCCCTGAAAAATCCTTCCTCCCTATATGTTCGAATGGGTGCCACCGTAGGACAAGCACTGCCATTTGTGTTGTCTTAGGCCTCAGGTGTCCTAGTTTCATGGTTTCCCGTTATGCCACTTGTCAGTTGAGTCAGTTCTGATTTGTTGATATAGGGGTATGATCGAACTTGTACAAAAGGTCAGGCACGATTCATCATCTATAGCACTAGTAATGTGACATCGTCCTATAGTCTGATCTGACCCCGAAGTGGCGAGGGAGGCTTTTTCGGATCCCCATTTATCATTTCTCCCCGCCCCTCCTTATTCTTGAGGTTTAGGTAGATTGGTAATAGGTCGTAGTATAAAGATTGCAAAGCTTTGCGTTGTTAGTGCGTTTTTATTCTTTTCTGAATTTCAAAACCAGATGCGCGTTCTTTAGTAACACGGCGCGTGTTCTGTGAGGTAACTTTGCTTGATATCGTATGTCACGTGGATGAGAAGAATGCAGCAAGGTCATGTAAACTCAGAGTACATTTCGTGAAAGTGTTCGTAATTTGGAACGCTTTAGTGCAAAAGGTCAAGTGTAAACAGTTGAAGCGGTCATATGCAAAAAGTTGAACAGGTTATTTTGCATCGAAAATCTGTCCCATGGCTATCGGGTTGTCTGGTGCTATACGCTCAGAAAGAAGGTCAGGGGTAATCCAGGGTGGAGCGAGCTAAAAAAATGTTTCCAACTTTTTGTGAAAGCTCTGAGAAAAAGTCCGGTATAGATGAGAAGTTGCTGTGATTGGTGGCGTGCCGGGAGAATACAGCGGGGTCATTTACGTGCATTACGGTCTGGCTGTCTTCTGGCGGTGGCGTACTGGCACAATTACTTTACCAAACCTCGATCACTTTTTTTAAATGTCTACTCAAAAATTGCTTGAGTGCCGTGCAAATTTCAAAGTGATGAATTTCGTTTGAAATGAGTAATTTCAATTCCAAAAATTTGAGCCTGAGTTTCTAAAGAGTGCAGTTATAATCAGCAAACAGTTTCGTCCGAGCTTCAAGGACAAAAATCTAAGTAGCATGTGTAAAAAGGCGTATCAATTTTCCCAATTTTGATCTTTCACATTATGATTACAACGATGCTTTGCAAGCCAGACGTTTTTGCAAATTGCGTTGCGCTTGTTCAGACCGTTGGTTTGCACATTTCGCCACGAGACATTTTTACACTGCCGGTTTTCGCCGCTACTGATAAGAGATTAGTCGGCAGTGTTGCTTTTGTTTCACCACGTCGAAGTGGTGCGCTTCGTAAAGTGAAAAGTAAAAGTGTGCAGAACGGCTGCCAGGTGTCGTAAAGAGAAAGG